CTATCCAAAAAGTACAAAATTTATTTTCCATGACTGACACCTCACCCAGAAAGTGACCTAACAGGTGGGGTTCTGGCGTCTTAGCTGTTATTTAGGTTAAAACACCAACTCTGACTCACGTAAGCAGAAGAGAAATTTGTCCAATACACATAGGAGTGCAATCCTACTTTATTTATTTATTTATTTATTTTTTGCAGTTTTTGGCCAGGGCTGGGTTTGAACCCACCACCTCCAGCATATGGGGCTGGCACCCTACTCCTTGAGCCACAGGCACCACCCAAATCCTACTTTAAAAACTCAAGGAAAACAGTTTCTCAACAAGAATATTATAGTGCTACTCACGTATATCAGAAAAGGTCATGTAACACATACGTGGTATTTTTACCATTTGTCAACTGCTTAAAGGTCTGGAAACAAAGCAGCTGTGTCCCTGCCCAGAGCTCCTAGGCTGGAAAGCAAGGCAAGGTGTCTTTCCCAGCTCCAAAGGAGAGAGGGACCGGGAGAGCCAGGAAGCCCCTAACTCAGAGGAACACACATTCCCCATGCCAAACACATCAAGCAACACCTACAGAGCCTGGAAAATCATTTCCCTTTTTGGTCTTCAATCCTGCATATCCACCTGGCCTTGGGGCACTGTGGGGAGGCCACTCTGTGCCCTGCGGCCGGCGGCTGGAGGAGCTGGGCAAAGCACCTGATGAACTTACCCGCTTGCAGGTGGCAGAGCAGCAGGAGGAGGAGGCCGGGGCTAGAAGAAACACCCAGAAAGGCAGGTGAGACGGGGCCACAGGTGAGTTACCTGCATCTTCCACACAGAAGCAGGAGGGGGGTCACACCCAGCACAGAAATGTGAATATACCACCTGGAGCCGGCCTACCCCACCCTCACTTTCCCTAAACCTAACTGTGCCACAGAATTCAGGGACAGGGGCTGGCCCCCAGAGTAACAAAATCCTCTGAAACAATGAGAGTGTGACGATAAAGGGTGGCAGCAAAGCCATGAAACTGGCCCAGCCGCCCTGGGGATGGATGCCAAGAAACTGTCTGACATCAGGATAAAAGCTTGCAGGGTGAGCAGAGCCGGAGCTGCATTTAAAATGCTGGGGGCAGCAGTGCCTGTGGCTCAGTGGGTAGGGCGCCGGCCACATACACAGAGGCTGGCAGGTTCAAGCCTGCCCCCAGCCAGCTGAAATCAACAGTGACAACTGCAATAATAACAACAAAATAGCCGGGTGTTGGGGCAGGTGCCTGTAGTCCCAGCTACTTGGGAGGCTGAGGCAAGAGAATTGCTTGAGCCCATGAGTTTGAGGTTGTTGTGACCTGTGACACCACAGCACTTTACTGTCACTTTGAGGGTGACATAGTGAGACTCTGCCTCAAAAATAAAATAAAATAAAATGCTGGGGGACACCTAGCCTGTCCACAGTGAGGAGTGCTTCAGGACAGCCAGGGTGGGGGCCAAACCTGGCAGGCTGCTCCCACCAGCATGCTGCCCACATCCTCTTGCAGGCCTCTGGTCACCTCCTCTGGGCGGGCCCCTCATCTTTGCTCTACAGAGTGCTGGGGCAGTTCACTTGAAGCTTCCAAAGCATCCCCAGACCAACACCCCAGGAGGTGGGAGACCCTTGGAGCAGGGCCCCCACGACAGCTGTCATCTGAGTCTGCACAGAGGTGTGCCTCGAGCCAGGCACACATGGACCTGGGGGCAGCCCCAGGGCCACCAGGGACTCTTGCTGCCAGCAGGTGGGCCCATGGTCCCTTTCTGCTCTCCCAGCTGGGGCCATTCTTTCTTGTGGGGTAGCTATAGAGACCTCTGACAGCCTCCCTGCCACTCCAGAATCAGAGCCAACCCTCCCCACTACAAAGCTGTGGAGACCCCTTTGTGGCCCCCATTTCCCACCCATGGTGCCCACTGGGGGTTCTTGAATCCCAATCTGTCTGCCTTGGGGGGGGGGGCTCTTGAAGGGGAAGGCACATGCTCTGGGCTCTTAAGGGGAGACCAGTTTGCCCCTCCCCCACCATCCCGCCCACCCAGCAGCCTCTTGGGCCCTCCATGTAAGCTGCCCCCACCAGCCTGCCCCCAGGCCCAGCACAGGCAGGGTCGCCTGGCCAGGGTATGGGAAGCTGCCAGGAAGGACATTCCTGAACTTTATTTTTTCTCTCTTGAGGGGCTGATCATAACTACAGACACTTGTAAGTGGGGTAGATTAGGCAGGGTGACCTGGGGTGGGCAGATTTGGGGCTGTATGGGTGGGACACTTGGGGTGGGGGTGAGGGCGCTGAGGCGGCAGCTACCACATGCACTGAAGAGATATTCTGGCAAAAAGCGGGCATAGAGCTGCCATGCCCCTCAGGCTGCCGCTCCTCCAGCACCACCTTCCCCGCGGGGAGGGGCTGTCAGCAGACGGTCTACCCCTGACCCTGACCTCGGCAGCTCTGTCAGTCACATTCCTCCTTTTACCTTCTGGGAAATCAGCTTGTGGCAGAGAAGGGGTGAGACTGTGCCCGGAGCGCGGTGCGCGTCCGCTCCCTTCCAGCGTGGCTCTCCGCTTCCCTTGGGCAGGGACTCCGCCCCTCATCCGCCCCCGCGCTGCGGCCCCGGGTTCGCTGGTCCCCGGCCGCTCCCGCGCCCCGAGGGCAGGTCACGGCCTCCGCCATCCCCACGCTCTGCTGCCCGCGTTATGTGCCGCACTTCCCTCCCGACAGACCCGCGAGCCCCGCGTCGCAGCCGTCCAGAGCCGAGGACACGCGCGTCAGGGCTGCTGCCCCCAGGGCGCTCTCTGTCCGCTCCCGCCCCGTCACCCCGCTTCCGAGCGCCGCGGCTCCTCTCCTTCCCCCTCGCCCGCAGCGTCGGTCCGCAGCCGGCTCACCTCAGCTGCATCGTGGGGCGGGGACCTCAGAGCTCGAGGACTTCGGAGCGCCGGGACCTCGGACCGCTGAGAAGTCGGAGAGCGCAGACGTGGGCGCGCGGGGACCTCGGAGCGCGAAGACGTCGGAGGCCGGCTGTAGGGAGCCGTGCCACCGCAGCGCCACTGTGGCTTTGACCGCTACGAGC